TGCTGTATTCTTAAAAACCAGGCAGACAAAGAGTAAGAGATACCGATTTCCAACAGAAATGTGCGTTGTTAAGCACAAAATGGGCCATTTCAACATGTTCAATATGTTGCTTATTTACATTTCGATCTTCCCCACTGACACAAAGTCCAAGCAGTTGAATCCATAGGAACGGAATTGCACAGACGTGGTATTTAAATGAAGTTTGAACTAGTGTCTTGCGCAAGTCTAATTTAAATGTCAAACGAGATATTCATAAATTCGTTTTGTCCGATACGGCAATATACTTGCTTGAGTGAAAATAACTAAGCAAGTACATTGTGCTCATTTGCTAGGACCGAACGCAAGCTTAATTATAATACATACCGGTACTTACAAGTGTCAACGGTAAGCGAATAAAACAAAGTAACCAAGACTGTTCAAAGTCTAAAAAAGTGTCTATCAGCTCAGCGAGTTTAAATTTCAAAGCACCTTGACAAAAGAGTATCAACTATGTTCAAAACGGAAAATATTAATTCTCTTGCAATGGAAAGCAAATAGCTACTTGTCTCATTTTGTTCTACTCGTTTGATTTTTCATTTTATTTGGTGTTGCAAGCAACGAAGGCGACCTAGATTTCGTATTCCGACTCTTCGGTAGAACTAACTAGAAAACTGAAATTTTTAGTTTTGGAAAGTTCCACCCGCCACTGTGGAAAAATCGCGAAAAACGTTTGTACGAATTTTTTCTGTTTGCTATCAGATCGGCCTTACAGACATTTTCAAAGATCTTTGTTAAAACTCATTTGAGGGGTGTCTCACACTTGAAAATCCATCCCTCCTTGGTGGAAATGGGTATTTCTGGAAGTTCAACATTCGGTATAAACTAAAAACGGTCTTAAAGTATTTTATATACCATATACTTAGTTTAGTATTTATACTTGTTTTAGTAATTGAAACACATTTTATTACGTAGGAGATCGATCGAACAAAAACACTTGTCAAATTAACGTGAATATCAATGTCATACTTCTAACAATTATATAAATGTACTAGCAGGTCCTGCCGAGATTTGCCCGTGGAAAGTTTTGTGGTTCAAAGTTTTACATGATTTAAATTTACCCGAACCATTTTGATATCCACTTTTATTTGACAATATGTTTAAAGTCCATCAGATAAAGAACCAAATGATGGAATCAACGGTTCCACCCATGTTAGTCTTTTGGTGAGAATCTTAAGGTTGAAAAATAAACTTTCGTTAAATAAACCATTGAGCTGCATCTTCCATCAAAGGACGGTAGCTTTGGCGACATTAGATACATTTTCACAAAGATCTTTGATAATAAGTTTAAAGCCAATGCGAAAATAAACAAAAAAGTTAAAAATGTTCCGCCAAATTGCCGCAGTTGCTGAATTTATAAAATATATGAAACACGTGTTCATTAAGTTTTTATGTAGTGGTTTGAAAATAAGCTTGAGACCGATCGGAAAAAACTTACAGTCCATACTTCTCATCGAGATTACCTGCATTTTAAGAAAAGTGTAAAACATGTCTCAAATGAATGTTCTCAAAGAACTTAGCAAATGAGCTTATAGCCGCAACTTCGGTCATTCAATCATTAACCCACATTTACCATCCAAGTCGGTTGGATTTTGCAAAAACTGTGAAGCCCGTATCAGATTAATTTTTAAAAAGATATTTGAAAATGATTTTGAAGCCGATCTGATGGTAATAATCTTTCATTCAATCGTTTTCCGCCAATTTACCATAGTTGCGAACGAATTTTTAAAATCGCTAAAGCTTTGCTCAAAAATCTTTGAATCACATTTTCCACAGAGGAAGCCTGGATTCTGCAAAAGTGTGAACCACGTCTCAAATGAATTTTCAAGACTTACTAAATGAATTTCAATTCAAAACTTCACTCATCAACTCTTGATCCTGATTTCCACCAAGGAGGGATGGATTTTCCAAAAAGTGTTAGAAACCCCTTAAATGAATTTGAACAAAGACCTTTAAATGAGTTTAACTCCGATCGGATGGTAAAAAAAAGTTTCATATAAACGTTTTTCGAGGTTTTTCCAAACTTGCGGGTGGAACCCCAAAACCCCGTCTTAGCGTGCACCTCCATCATATAAGGTAACTACATATGTATAAGCTCTTACGACTTAAGCTGTGCGTTAATCACAAACAGTTTTATATATAAAGATAGTTAACTTCTTAATTTTATAACAGTTTGTGTTTTTAATAAAGCTTTTATGGTTCAGGAGCTACTAAGTGATAATTCTTAGCGGAACTAATAAATTCACTAGCCCACAAAAATAGACCTTTTTTTTTAATTTTAGAACTTTTAAGAACACATTTTTAAAGGCGCAGTACCCAGCGCTAAAAACCTGGCTTACTTATTCACTTTCGCTATTGGAGGAAACTGGCAACGCTTGCTCTATATTATTGTCATGATGACCGTTGTCATTATTGTCATCATCGTCATCATCTAACTCGTCCGTAGGTGCTGTTTTCAGGCGAGCTATCAGCTCCTTGGCAGGATTAAATATGCCATTGGTTTGCTGTGAACAAATTATGCAACGCTGCGACTTCTTGTACTGGGCCAGCGCACATTTCTCGCAGAAGTAATGCTTGCACCTGAAATGTAATTAAAGATTTGATAGCATATTTTTATAAGCTGTATATTAAGCAAACTCACTTGGTGACCACAGGATTAACAAAGCTTTGCCTGCATATGTGACACTTGAATGGCAGGGATTCCTCGTCCGAGTGAATCTCATATTTATGCTCATCCCCATCCGAGTCACAATCTCCGCGCCGTTGCGCCTCGTGATCCATTTCTAGCTGCCAGCCAGCTTTATAGTCGCTGCGATCGTGTAAAAACTTGCAACTATCGCCAAAGCCACAGTAGCCTGTCTCTTTAAAATCTTTACAAATATCTGGCTGATAATCCCAACGTACAGTCGCACGCAAATGCGCCGGGGCGCGTATGGGCCCACTGCGAACCATGCCCGAGCTAGCATTGCCCGCCGCCGTGTCCTTCTTTTTGTAATATTGAGCATAATTATTAATGCCTCGATAGATCTTATCGTCCGCTTTTCCCTCGAGTTCTTCATTGATTTTGAGCGAGCGCGCGTGTATCGCCTGGGCATCGCGATCCAGTTCCGTGTCCATTTCATTAACGGCAGTGGCGCCCTGATCCTGAGGTCCACTAGAAAGAGCTTCGCGCTTCGATTTATAAGCCACACCCACAGCATTGCTATCGCCCGCCGAGTCAGCGTCGCTACCTGATGAGTTGAATCCTCTGAAGCCTATTTCCGCCTTACGTTTGGCCAACGATTTAGTGCTTTGGAAGTTTGGATTAGTACGCTTTCGTCGATTTTCAGCACGGGCTGAAGCACTTGTTTTACTTTGCCGCTCCTCGTCGCTATTTTTTGCTGTGGTAATATATTATTTAGAACTGTGTTTTATCATTTTTTTTTGCGCCAATATTGGGCTTACCCGAATCGTTGCTGCTGGTGCTGCTGACTTTCTTCCGCCGCATACCCACACCTTTGCTCAAATTACGCTTCTTGAAGCCAAATGTAGAAGTACTTGGCGCCTCTTCGGACATTGTATTATATATTTGCGATAAGTAAAGTGATGCCGGTTTATTTACTTATCGAGCGTTTTGCTACAGTTTAGTGTTGCACATATTTGCAAGCGTAGTATTTTACAACACAGCCGCGCCACAAAACCTTATTTCAGGGCTGCACTTCGTTATGGAACCAGTAATCAGCCCTGGTGCCGATATAAAAATATTCATTCTGATTCCTATCACGAACAAAATTTTTATTTAAAAAAAAATCTACATAAGTAAATATTTTGCTTCACTTATTGTATTGATACTATAATAATTAAAATTTTAGAACATGAAGCTGGAACTGGTGTCGACCACAAAATGCTTCGAGGGCGAGCAGCGTGTCTATAAACATCACTCTAACATATTGGATTGCGATATGACCTTTGGTGTCTTCTTGCCACCTGTGGCAGTTGAAGATAAAACTCAATGCCCGGCGCTATACTTTTTGAGCGGCTTGACCTGCACGCACGAGAATTTTGTGCAGAAGAGTGGCTTCCAAGAGACTGCAGCTAAGCATGGCCTTATCGTGGTTAATCCTGATACTTCGCCACGTGGAGTGGACCTGCCCGGCCAGGATGATGCTTATGACTTTGGCAGTGGCGCGGGCTTTTATGTAGACGCTACTGAAGCACCATGGTCAAAACACTACAAAATGTACAGTTATGTTACGCAGGAGTTGCCTGAAGTAGTCAATGAGAATTTCCCGACGTTGCCTGGCAAAAAGGGCATTTCTGGTCACAGCATGGGCGGACATGGCGCATTGATTTCCGCCTTAAAAAATCCCGGTCTGTACCAATCAGTCTCTGCATTTGCACCAATTTCGAACCCATCGGAATGCCCATGGGGCCAGAAGGCATTTACCGGTTACTTGGGTGCAAACGTAGAGAACTGGAAGCAGTGGGATGCCACTAGCCTAGTCTCAAAGTATGTCAGTACTCCGCAGGAACTATTCATAGATCAAGGATCGGCTGATAACTTTCTTATTGGCAAACAACTGCTGCCAGAAAAATTGCTTGCTGCAGCTGCCACTAACGACCACATCCAGACCATATTCAAGCAACGCGAAGGATATGACCACAGCTACTTCTATATAGCAACCTTTATAGCTGAGCATATTGAATACCATGCAAAGTTGTTAAAGGCATAAGGGAAAACTAAAATGCTTGAGTTTTGTTTGTAAAAAATTGTATTGACAAATAAACTCTGTACATACAACTGCACTTATGAAAAAACACGCATTAATTTGCTTATTATTTGCTTGTCTATTTATTTACAAATTTATATTTTTTTTTTGCAAACATGAGTAATATCTTGGCAACGTAAAGTTTAAGACCTAACGTATTTTTCGTATACTTTAACCTCAGTAAAAATAATATTAAAACACTATATTAATCACAAATATTGTGTAGTTGTAGTTTTATTTGGGCTCAATAACAAATGCATATTAATGAAATTGTATCGATTATTCTTTCCAAAATCAACAAATAATAATTCAAGTAATACGAAATGCCTTTTCAGGAGTTATGATAGAAGTACATACCGGTGTTTCAAGCCTCACTGTCCACTAAAATCAATGTAAGAGTATACATCGATTGTGTGATTAACACATCTGAAACATGTCAGAATCCAAATAAATTAGTAAATTTTTTACTCTTTAAATATGATTAAAAAAAAAGGTCTTATTTTTCATTTAATACACTCGACGCCTGTAACTCATCTCCTTCCAATATAATTTGGAAATCCGTTAGATATCGAGATTCGTCCTAAATTCTGGCCGCAACTGAAAAAGTGGCACAAAAATATAGATCATAGTCTCATTTGGTATTTTTGCAGCTTGGATCTGGTTTAGGAAACCCACCTTTAAATTTTTAATTTGCGTGCTGGATGAAAAATTATCCAACGCGCCTCCACACAGGCCTGAAATTATGAAACAAATTTTTAACATCAAGGCCAAAGGACCGGTTCAGTGGGCTGGTGTTCTATCATAAACTCCACGGGCTAAGCTGGTCAAATTTTAAAATTGTCATAATGGAAAGAATTATATCGATTCACAAAAAGAACGCGTCAGAATAGCTTAATCTAAGAATGCTTAAAACTCCTTAACAAAATACTTAAAAAAATAATAAATCTATAGACTTGCAATGCATCCGCTGTCTGTGTTGATCAAGAACTCGTCATCTTGCAGCAACTGCGTGGGCGGAGTGCGACTGGGGCTCCAATCGCAGCTTGGAATAAAACCAGTTTCCGAAAATTTATTGAAATAGCTATGCTCATCAATAATTGTCAGTGGTTTAAGCGGTTGCTGGCATTCTGGTAGGCCAAAGCTGTTATCCTCCAGAAATCGGGTGCAGCTCTCATCCTCGTACGCGGGCGCAGGCTGATGCTGATAATCTGTTAATAAATCATCGATAAAGTCATTCCATGAACTTGATGGCGGCTCATTTATATATTGTTCTGCGGCTACACTACCATTGTCGTCGTTCAGCACGCCTGGAAAGCACTTCGTCTCCATGGGCAGCTCATAGCTGCTGCTTGAATAAGTTGATATGAGGGAGCCATCCGGTGAAGCAGCCCGGTTATCCGGCGATGAAATGTCCACATTTAGTACTGTGGTAACAGTTTTGTTATTTTTGCAATTACCCAATACGTCCTTCAGATATTGACACTCTTTTTCGAGCTTTTGTGTTAATTTGAACTGTTTCTTAAGAGCTTTCAGCAAAGATCTGTTGGTGCTGCGAGTTTCGTCAAGCTCCTTTTCGACTGACTCCATGTACGCCTTCTTTTTGCGGCGATTTTCGCGCGCAAGCAACGCATTTCTGTTGTATACATTGGGATCTGGACGTCTTGTCGGCAGCCGTGCTGTTCCGGTTTTACGTTTGCCGCTCTCCCCTTCAGCATCTTTAGCTTCATTAACGGATTTTCTGTGTGCTGGCCGTCCAGTCGATATGTAAGAGTCACTGTCGCTATCGGAGCTGCTTACATCAACATACGCATTACATTGGTATTGTGCGACCAATTTCTTTAATTCCTCCATTATTTTTGGGTTTTGCAAGCAGGTAAAATGTTTACTATTATGTGCTCTATTTCACGATAGATCCTTGTCTTGTACTTTACCTTTTATTTAATTATATCTATAAATTATATTCAACGAAATATACTTTCTTTTCTATTGTGAAATTGCAAACGTTTAGAGCGAAAAATGACGCATCGTGTTTGAGAAATCTAGTGATGTGATAACACAATGCGATGCCGATATACCAAACATATTTATATCGATATTTAACAACGATAGCTTGATTTACAGGTTCCTTTGTAGGCTGACACCACTAAACAAAGAACATATGTTTTTTGTGCTGACACCAATCTGGTGGCTACTTTATTTGAATGCAAGCAGCCTTTGAAAATATTTTATAGTTACTTTTCATATGCATATTCGTTAATCTTAAATGTGCGACCTAGTTAAGTCAAGTTTATTTGTTTTATTTTTTCTGCGCTTGTATTTTATTCTTGTTCTGTTTTTTTTAACTTAAATAAGGATCAACGCATTTTTTTCTCAGTCACTTGAATGAGTACTTACATAACCATATATTTCGTAAATACGTGCATATAAAAAAACAATAAAAATAAGGAAGGTATGCACTTTATACTCATATTGTCGTTTTAAGGTTTAATGACTGGCATGACATCACTGAATTCAAACTGATCTTAATGGCAATCACTGTTTTTTGGATAAACAAGTCCATTAAATTCTAGCGGATGAAAAGACATACTTTTAGAACGTTGAAGCATCACGTGAACTGGATTTGGGGGGCATGTTCCCGTTCATTTCACACGAGAGGCATGCAAATGTGCGTAAATTGGATTGAGCCAGAAGTGTAACGGGAGACTATGATTTCAGTTTGGAATGTTGCCCTGCATATAAATCTTGCCCAAGTGCTTACAAAAGTAAACAATTTTTTTTTATTTTTATTTTATCTTTAATTTCTCTTTTTAGGAGAATGTATTTTAATCTTTCAATTATGTTTTATATAAGTTTGACTATTTATACTCTATGAACAATTGCATAACATTTTAATTAAACGCCGTTCCGCATTTTGTCAAAGTCGCTAATTTGATAATAAATACATACAAATCGCCCACATATTTTTTAAGTATGTCTCTATAGCAGACCCCAAGAGTGGGGGCAAATGTCACTCAAACCGCTATAGACTAAATGACACCACCCGACGCGTGTCTCTCAAATGTCGTCCATTTCCAAACCCGTGTCTACTCGACCCGGTCGCTGTCGTTGTCCCCGTCATTGCCATCTTTACCTAAAAATACAAATGAATGCATTTAAAGCTTGTCTACTTTTTAATACATAGTAATTTAAGTGTGGGATCAGTGATTCCCATCGCCACAATATAGACTACATGATACATATACATACATACATATGTATATTCATGTCTATCGGTATGTACATACACATATGTACATATACACGTGAGTCTGTGTGCCACCGGCTATTGTCATCAGCTACGTTCTGAGCTGGACTTGTATATAAAGGTGATAAATCTCACAGTCTGAAATTCAGTTCAATTCCAACTCGACTCAAAGCCGGTTTTCGTTTTTTGCTCGAGAGCTTCTGGAATATTATAATGCGTTTTGCTCTGTTTACCATTCTGGGTAAGTATAGTAGATTAGCGGACATGTAAAACTTAATGTAATAAAAACAAAATTCTACTACAATGAAATTTGCATTGTGGTAGCGCATAGCTGGACGTGCAGTTCACTCTAATAATAAAAATTAAACAAAAGTGTTAATATTGTGTTTTACGTCCTTTTTAAAGATCTCTTGTGATATACCTATTGTATATATACGAATATATCGATTTTGAATTCCCAATATCATACTGGCGTGTGCAAATATTTATCATATACAGATAATTTTTTATTTATATGATAACCAAACCTTTAAGCAAGTACATTCTATAACTTCTCATGTATGGCACATAGAATACCTTGTAGCTGGTAGAGCAAACTGACCTTTCTAACATCTTTTGAGATAAGGTAAAAATAGTTTAGTTAGTATATATACATTAATTTATATGGCGAGTAAATCCCAAACTTCTTCTTTTCACTGATTAGCGCTGTGCCTGTTGGCGCTCGTCTTTGCCAGTCCAGCCAAGGACTCTAAGAAACCGGCAAACAGCTGCGCACGCGCTTGCGGCGACGACTACGAACCCGTGTGCGCCAGGACTAAGAACAGCAACAAGGAGCGCCTCTTAACGTTCGGAAGCCCGTGCGTCATGGCCAATTACAACTGCCAACACGCTGACGATCGTAAGTTTATTTTGATCAATCGTAAATTGGCATTAAATGTAATTTTCACTTACAGCATTTGAGGTCAAGTCAAAGGGCGAGTGTGGCGGCGGTGTCAGCGTGCGTCTATCATAAAAATTGCGAACAATTGTGAACCTTTACAACTGAAAAAATCAATATTTAAAGTCTTATGGCACAATCAATAAAACAGTTTACATACTATATTCAGATTTGTTAACAGTTTATTGATTATTCATACACATGTACATTCTACAGGCTTAAATTTGCAAAACTAAAATTATAAATGGCTTTCACACAACATATTGCCTATTCACAAAAAGGGTAACTTATAGTTAGTTAGCCCTTAAAAAACACACATCTTCGCATTAACATTCACACATCGCTTAGATAAGTTCAGTTCCAGCTATTTCCCATTGTTTGTATTCCACGCACACACTACTGCACCGTCTGGAAATCACTCGGTGTCTATCTATAAAAGAGAAAACCCTTAAAATACATATTTTATAGTATATTATACTACTACTCACACATTTATATACTATAAAATCCAATGCAAATAATATATGTACGTATATTGTTGTTTTCTAATTGATAACTTATAGCTGTTATCATGTTTGTTTGTATTTAACTGGATTATTTATGTATGTAACTTTAATTCGCCTCCTTCTTTTGCTGCTTGACCTTATAGTCGGCTAGGGCAGCTTTAATCGCATCCTCGGCGAGCATGGAGCAATGCAGCTTGACGGGCGGCAGACGCAGTTCCTTGGCAATATCCGTATTCCTCAATTTACCTGCCTCATCAATAGATTTGCCCTTAACCCACTCCGTGGCCAAGGAGCTGCTGGCGATGGCTGAGCCGCAGCCAAATGTCTTGAACTTGGCATCAACGATTTTGCCATTCTCGTCCACTTTTATTTGCAATTTCATAACGTCCCCGCATGCTGGTGCGCCAACCAGACCGGTGCCAACGCTGACATCCTTCTTGTCCAGCGAACCCACGTTGCGGGGGTTCTCGTAGTGCTCGACTACCTGCAAGACAAAGTCATTTATTAACACGTAATTGTTTTCTTTAAGCGTGCCAAGAACTAAATGTTGTACAGTACAATAAAAACAGACAAAACATGTAAATATTTAGTATAAAATATGTTACGAAAGAAATTTGCGTGAGGCAAAAAGTTTAGTTCAATACATACATTTTCATGGTATAGTGCCACTGGTACGCTCTGAACTCGACGCAGCTGGACTTGTAGAAGTCGAGATGATTTTTGGATAAAAGACATATTTATTTCGAAAATGTACTTGCTTCAAGTCAACTGATTATAAATTAAATGGTTGTGAAATAGCAGCACGAGAAGAGTCGAAATTTAACACACTGGATACTGCGTAGTTTTTATCGAACCAGCTCAATGACTGGAACTAGGGTTCCACATTGAACTGGTGCAAAAAAGCTTTGTTCGTTCATTGGTTCTCATGGAATATTCTTTCTTTTATATACACATACATATGTATGTATGCAAGACCTTTGATATATAATGATTTTTTGCCAGCATATACTTTTAATGTTCTGTTTAGGATAACTTTTGTTTACAAATATATTACTTTTGCTCTAAACAGGGACATGCGGTAGTGTGTCTCGAAAACAACAACGAATATGTAAATTAGTTGAAGAGAACATACAAGAGTTATTCAATATTATTTATGCAAGTAATTTATTGAAAAAGGAAAATAAATAAATAAAAATGCATTGTTTTACATAGAATTTTGTTTTTATTCGTTTATTATAGCATTATAATTAAATCTTCACTGTTATATTCCATCTCCATATCTTCGACATCGACTTATTTAAATATACAAAAAATTGTGTGTTATAAAAATGGTTTAATCTTTTATCGGTTTTGTTGTTGGTTGCTTGCTTTGCTTGTTGGTCGAAGGACGAATGTCCATCCAAGAAACTGGCTGTTACCTCGTTTTACCGGCACCCACCTTGTGAGGAGATATTAGAGCACGCAGCGGGTGACACTTCAGTCTTCGACAGCATATTTCTGGGTCCATTCACGTGCATTGCGTATGGCCTCGGCCTCATTAACTTTCCACAGTTCGGCCACATCGTTGGCTAGCGGATCATCGGGATTGGGCGCACTGAGCAGCGCTTGAATGGACAACAGAATGGTACGAATTTGCAGGGCCGGACTCCACTTATCCTTCAGCACATCCAGACAAATGCGCCCAAGACGATCGATATTCGGATGGTATATCTTTGTGATGAAACGCACCTTGGGTGCCGACATTGGATAATCCTCGGGTAGAAACAGCTCCAGCTTGAAGACTCCGCCCTCAAACGGCGAGTCATTTGGACCGGCGACTACTACATGAAAATAGCGCGCATTGTTTTCATCGGGAATTGCATTAATTCCGGGCACCGGCTCCTGCATCAAGCGCTGCGTCTCCTTTATAATGCGACGTGGCAGACTGGACATGTTTTAACCTTCTTTTTTGTCCCAGTTGTTGTTGTTGGTGCTTCTGTTGAGTTCACGCAACTTAAGAATGACAAAAGTAAAATCTCTTTTTGGTCTGTTCCGCCAAAAGTTAACTGATCTGCACCTGGCTAGCTTCGTATAATTGAGATGGACATACGACTATTACAATGACGAGCTGTAAAACTATTATTTATAGTTTGATCGAGCGTTTTATAAAAGCAAACTAGCCTGTGTCCCTAAAACTTGAACAAAAAAAACTAGTTCAAAAAATGGAATAAATTTGCACAACAGCTGCTGAGCAGTGTTGGTTAGTGTGTAACAATATACATTGCGTACACGATTCAACTAAAAATATCTCGTTTGTTGGCATGAACGTGTATTAGGCGACGGTGCCGATGTCA